ATCCACAGCATCTTGCTCATGGGCAGCTGGACGGCCGTGTGCTGCCAGGCCAGGAACTCGTCCACGCGCGCACGGGTGTGCAGGTCCGGCGGGTACCAGTGAGAAGGCGCACTGTACTTGCGGCACAGGTAGGAGAGGATGGCCACGCTGCAGAAGGGCACGGCGGGGCACTGCTCTGGCCTCTTGGAATGCCCCTGTGCCAGCCAGTTCTGGCGGGACCCGGCCCAACTGCTGGGGCTGCAGCCACAGGCAGGCTCTGGGCACCAGCCTCCTCCCAGGGGAAGATGAGCCCCAAGGGCCCTGGGAAATGCCACCCCCAGTGCAGCCAGTCCATCAGTGAGGCAGGGAAGGGAACCCGAGGTGCATGGCGGAAGGCATGGAGGAGGACTGGCCAGGCTGGGCACCACACATGCCCACACTTCAGGGGAGAGGAAGCACAATGAATTTGCAGAAAGGAGACAATTTGAGAGTGACTGGAAGGAGAGTAAGGAGCTCTCGTGGTGCAGTGCCTAAAGCATTTGACTGCTAACCAGAAGGTTGGTGGTTCAAACCCACCAGCAGCTCGGCAGAAGGACGGGGCAATCTACTTCTATAAAGATTTACCACCTTGGAATGGGGGTCGCTATGAGTTGGAGTTCAGTCGATAGCAGTGGGTTTGGTTTGGCTTGGTTTGGTTTGGAAGGTCAGTGGGGTGAGCGAGAGAGACAGCCAGTGAGGTTCTGAGAGAGACCATAACAGCGAGGCCCTGGGAGGTGGCGGAGTCCCGGAGTGATGCAAACCGTTAACACACTGATCAAGAGGATGGAGATTTGAGCTCACCCAGAAAAAAAGCACTGTGATTGATTTCTGAAAAGTCAACCATCAAAAACCCTGTGGTGAGCGGTTCCGCTGTCACACACGCGGGGGCGCTGTGCGTCAGGGTCGACGTGACAGGGCCTGTGGTGCTGGTGGGTGGAGGTGCCAGGGAAGAGTGCCGACGCCCCGCCCCAAGGTTGTGGGTTGCGTAGGCAGCGAATGGCAAGATGGACCCTGAGCTTTACTGAGTGGAGGAAGCCGAGACGTCAGCCAGCCACGCCCCTTGGAGCCTGAGGAGGGCGGAGGGGAGGAGTCATGGCTTACGTCATGCCTGGTGGGGGAGGCAAGCGAGGCTTGCAGTGGGGGAAGGTGGGGAGCTCAAGGTGCCGGGCAGCAGAAGTGTGTGTGGACATCTGAGTGGAGACAAGTCTGGGCCCCAAGATAGTCCTAAGTCTGAGTCCGCTGCCATAATGTCCAAGTTGCAGGGGCAGTTGCACCCTTGAGTAGAGGCGGCAAGCAAGAAGAGAGAAGGAAGAGGAAGTTGGGGAGCAGCAGCCAGGGAGGAGGAGGAGGGTGCCCCGAGGTCTGGAGAGGCAGTTTTCAAGAAGGGAGAAAGGCTGGAAGATGGGGGGGGGGTGTCCCTAACATGGACCTGCATGAGGCCATCTAAGCACCATCACTTTCTCAAGATCTCACGGTAGCCCTGCCAGGTGCCGGGGCTCCTACGTGCACCTGAGGACACTGAGCTTGGAGGTAGAGGTCACCTGCCGGGGGACACCCGGCTCCAAGGGTGCAGGGCTGGGGTTTGACCCCAGCTGCCCGGCCGCTGAGCCCGGCCGCTGAGCTGACACTAGTGGGGCTTGGGGA